CCAATTAGAGAGTGAAAACAAAAGTCTAAATTAGAAATGGTGATAGGATGGCCAGGAGTGGTGTCACATGCCTGTAATCCCAGTGGCTAGGAAACCTGAGGCAGGAGGATCACAAGTTCAAAGCCAACCTCAGCAACTTATCAAGGCCCTAAGCAACTTAGAGAGACTCTGTCTCTAAATAAAAAATAAACTGGACTGAGACTGGGATTCAGTAGTTAAGCACTCCTTGGTTCAACTTAAATACAAAAAATTGAAAGAAAGAAAGAGAAGAAATGGTGAGAGGAAGAGCTATTGAGGAAGAAACCATGCAAAGAAGAGAAGTAGAGTTGGGGAAGTAGCTCATGGTAAAGAGTTTACCTAGCATGCACAAGGCCCTGGGTTCAATCCCCACTGCAAAATTTTAAAAAAGAAAAAAGAAAGATGCAAATATTGGAAGGAAAAAGTGGAAGACATGGTAGCTGGGTTAAAGGACAGAAAGGAGAAGAAATCAGGAGGAGCTCCTCAGTCTTACTGCTCACACTAATGGTGACTAAAATTGATAATCAAGAGATGTGAAGAAAATGAGGGATGAAAGGAGAGGGAGAGACTGTGGGTCCATCAATAGAAAATGTGCCATAGACAATTAAGGTACGAAAACCAAAATTTCAGAGATGACAGCATTGCTTAAATTTAAATTTATTTTTATATAATTTAGAACAGTTTGCATGTTATTTACTTGTGCTCCAAATTTTTCATTTAATAAACTCAGTTTCACCTTTGCATTTTTCACTAATAAATATTTTAATTAACATTTATTATATGAGTAAGAATTCTATTGTGTAGATATACTGTAAACTATCTCCTTATTATTATTGTACATTTTGGTCTACTTGAGAAACAGAAATAATGAATCAAAAAGGACTCGAGAAGTGACAATTCTACCTTTTTTAAAAAATAAGAAAATGAATCCCAGTTATGGGTGAAGAAGTTATCCCTCTGAGTGCCTGAGATCAGGAAAGTCTGATAACTTACTCCCACCATCTCACACTTTCAATGTTCAATATAAATGTCTTTGCTGTCAGTTTGACTAAGTATGTCATTATGCCGATTTAGAAAGGAGATGTTAAAGTAAATTGCTCTTGAACAGAAGACTTTTTTTTTTTTCCCTTTGGGTCTAAAATAAAATGAGTAGCACTCAGATGCCAAATATTATCTAGGCAAAGAAAAAGAAGTGTGCCAACACAATAATATTTGCCAGTATAAGTATCTGAGGACATCCTAAACAACAAGCTTCTAGAAAATACCGTATTAGCTTTACAGGTTACCCAAATCTGTTTAAATTATTTTTTAAAAAACTATTAAATCTTGGGGCTGGGGTGGTGGCTCAGTGGTAGAATGCTCACCTAGCATGCATGAGGCACTGGGTTTGATCCTTAACACCACATAAAAACAAACTAATATATCCACCTAAAACTAATAATACATACATAATACACAAATAATAAATATTTTTTAAAAAACTATTAAATCTTAAGGGGAAAAATGAATTTCCTGAAAAATTTCAACCATGGAAACTTTCCCTCTCTGTTTTTTGTTTGTTTGCTATCATAAATGCCCTACTATGGTCTTGGTAGCATACACCTGTAACTCAACTACAAGAGGCTCAGAATCAATAACAGCCTCAGCAACTTAGTGGGACACTATCTCAAAATAAAAAATAAAATAAATTTAAAAAGGGATGGGGGTATAGCTCAGCATAGAGTGCTTGTTTAGCAAGCATAAGGCCATTGGTTCAAGCTCCAGTATCATAAAACAATTAATAAATACCTTGCTGTGGACATCAGTCTGTAACATTCACATTTTATAAATAATGTCTAGAATGTTATTGTGTACTTTTTATCATTTGGGATTACTTCTTATGGCTATTTTCCCCAATCTTGAATAGAAACTCAAAACATGTGATACTCTGTATCACTTTTTACACAGCAGAGTTCCAGCATTTCATAACTGTTAAGTGGGGGAAGCAAGACTGGACAAATCTACAATGCATGCATTTTTCCTTTTCATTACAAATGAGAGGGTCTAAGCTATAAAACGCTTTATCAGTATATTCTATGTTATATGTTTCTCTTCTTTTGATAATTGGGGGTTTATTTGTTTTGTTTTTTTGTACAAGGGATTGAACCCAAGTGCCCTTAAATACTGAACCACATTCCCAGCCCTTTTTAGTGTTTTTTTATTTAGAGACAGGGACACTCTAAGTTGCTCCAGGCCTTGCTAAGTTTCTGAGACTAGCTTTGAACTTGTGATCCTCCTGCCTCAGCCTCCCAAGACACTGATATTACAGGTATGTGTCATCACCCCCAGCCTAATTTGGATTTTGTAAGCAAACACATACTCCTTGTCTTAAATTTATTAAAATTTAAATTTATGTTATTTTATCATGTCTTCCCTATATATAAAAGAATACTATCATGAAATTTATGTGTTATGAAAAGCAGACCCAAATTAATTTTCCCTCATATATATGTCCCCAGAGCAAAACATATACATATATATTGGTACAACGACTTCTTTTGTATTGTGTTATTATACTCCTATAACCTGATTTTCTGGGTTTTTAATTTTTTTGCACAGTAGAACAGAATATTGATGAATGTTACTTATTGCTGTTTTAAAATCTGATAGATTAATTAACACATTTTAATCTGAATAATTTACTCTGTGTGTGTGTGTGTGAGTGTGTGTATGGTTTAGATATTTGGTGTTCCCTAAAAGCTTATGTGTGAGAAAATGCAAGAAAGTTTAAAGGTGAAGGGATTGGGTTATAAGAGTTTTAACTTGATCAATGTATTAATCCCCTGATAGGTATTAGCTTGGTGGTAGCCATAGGCAGGTAGGTGTGGCTAGAGGAGGTGGATCTTTGGGTTGTACTTTCAGGGTGTATATTTGTTCTTGGTGACCATGTCCTAAGCTGCTTTCCTCTACCATACTCTTCTACCATGATGTTCTGCCACACCTTGGGCCCAGAGCAAAGGAGCCAACCATCTATGGACTGAGACCTCTGAAATCATGAGCCCCAGATAAACTATTCCTTCCCTAAAATTGTTCTTGTTATTTCTTTTGATCACAGTGTGAAAAACTGACTGAAACACACATACACATGTACATATATAAAGTATATGTACATATTAAATGATGTTCTAATTAACCATCATTTTAGATAAATCATGGATAATTATATATAATATATTATTATATAAATTAAAATATGTATTATATATTAAATGATAGTTATATGAAATATGCATATGTAACTATAAATATATTAAATGATGCTTAGTTAAATTTCTGTCAATTAACTGCAATTCTTATTTTAGAGATTCTAAAATGCTTTTTCACTGCAATTAGAGTCTTTTGTATGTGTGATGAAGCAAAACAGAGACAGATACAGAAAAATGTTTGTTTGTTTAATGGATAGATTTCTAACATCTGTGAAGATAGCAATGTTACTTTAAATGCTATGATGGCTCTTTTCCAAAATACCTCAAGGACATTTTTTTTTCGGGTCTTGTAAATAGTTGAAGAGCAGAAAGAAAACTCCATAAATTCATAAGAAATACAACTTCCAAAGATTTTAAATCAGGAAAAACATGAACTCATAGAGAATAACATCAGAGTGAGACTAAGATTTTGTAGCATTCAGAAACTATAAACAATAAAGAATTTCTTTCTCTGTTAGACTAAATGGTTTTTGGTTACTAAATTACATTTTTTACAATTTTCAAAATAATATTCTATAGTTAGTACATTTTTACCATACAATATAATAAATTCATGAAAACTAATGTGTCACTAATGAAAATATATGTTTTGCATACAGTATTCAGACAGATGAAATGCTCAGAAATTTAATATCTCAAAAGAATATTTTAGTGGAAGGATATGAGACTACTGATTTAATAGAAAAATAGAAACATATTTAAGGATAGGATTTGATAATCTCTTTTTAATCAGGCTTATATTTAGAATGAAAGGGTTACCCAATCTCTCTTGTACACCCATAAGGGCTAGGAAAAAAAGAGGGAAATAAATGCAAAACCATATTTATGAAATTGGCCCATTTATAAGGAAATTGAATGATTGACAAAGCCCAAAACAGCACTGTAGCAACTTATAACTGAAGTTTTTATTTTAACCACTATTTTTCAGTACAGGAAAAGTTCCTAAACCCACTTTCAAAGAAAGAAAAAAACTTGGATGTCAACTCCTACAAGAAGACATGCTGTGTTTCTCTGCATTGCTTCCTCTTTGCAGAGAACATTCCAAACCCCTTCATCACAGTTTGTTTCCATTTGCATAACCACATCTGAGCCTCCAGTTTCCTGCACTAAAATTAGCCTACAAGTATTCTCTCTCACTTCCAATTTGAACTGAACCAATGAAAGGGGGGTATTTTATTTTTTTATAAAGCTATAACAAGCAATTTTTAAAAAACATGATATAAAATCAACCAGCAAAAGGTTATAGCAAGCCTATTTAACCAGGCTGATGACAAAATGCAGAAAGCAATACCACTTGTTTTGGCCAGTAATAAATGCTTCCAGACATATGATGGTAGCAAAGCTTACTTAGCCATTTGGTTAACTTTTTATTTTAATCTAGGATATACAAGGCCAGAGTAACAGACACATTAAATTCCATGTTATGCTTCAATCTTTCGATCCACATTTTGGCAATGAGTACATACATCTTACATTCTATAATTGCCAACTTCCAAGATAACATGAGACACATTGGCAAATCCTTGCTGGTTATGTTCCTTTGGCATAATGGTTTTTGTTTCATATTCACTAACAGAGTTTAAACTTTAAAATAATAAGATAGCTTTAATTTGATTTTTAACACATTTGGGTAGAAAGAATGCAAAAAGGAACACAAGTAATAAGATGAACCAGGATTACAAGAAGCTGTTCAAACACATTTATTTGGTTGTTATAAATGGATCTCTAAATACCTACCAGTGACTGTAAGAAACATGTTTGCCACAACAAGGCCAAATGAATTCCGAGCCAGACATTCGTATCTTCCTTGGTCAGCCTGGCCTGCGTCGTAGATGGTCAGTGTGCCTCCACTGTCGATATGGAATTTACCACTCTCAGTAATCTGTATACCTGCCTACCAAGTAAAAAAGGGTTGTCATTGGGAGAAAGCGTGGGTCCTTAAAAAGTAAATATTTACACTTCATTCGATGTAGTCTGCATTTGTTCAACAAATATCTACTGAGTGCCTGCCATGTATCAAGCACTATAGGAGGTATCAAATAAATCGAACAAAGAGAAGAAAGAAAGAGATTCCCAAGAAGTGCTGTTTTGTCTTCTAATTAAAATAAATATGACACTCATAAGTTCAGTCGTGTATTATTTAGCATGTGATTTTCTTAAAACCATCACTCAATAGATGGATGTAAACAAAGTATTAACAACCTGCTTACTTCTAAAAGACAATTCTGACAATAAAAATAAGAACATGATTTTAAGGAGAAAAATGCTCAAAAATCCACCACCTGAAAACATCAAAATGTTTCCTTATTTTTGACTTCCCTAGACACATTTTGTATAGCTACACTGGTATATAGATAACTGTATTTCCCAGTTCAAAAAATATACTTTTAAGAAGATACAAGTAACTAATTTTATATAAACTACTATTAAAGTGCATTCTCTACTAATTATTAAGAATTTATTGCCAGATGTGGTAGCACACTCCTATAATCCCAACAGCTCAGGAGGCTGAGGCAGGAGGATCATGAGTTCAAAGCCAGCTTCAGCAAAATCAAGGTGCTAAGCAACTCAGTGAGACCTTGTCTCTAAATAAAATACAAAATAGGCTGGGGATGTGGTTCAGTGATTTGAGTACCCAAAAAAATAAGATAAGGAATTTTATTTTTAAATGTCCATCATCATTATGATGTTAATTTTAAAAAGAAAAAAAAATGGCTTTCAGAGATTGTAATAGAGATACCATTATCTTGCCCCTCTCCAAAAGACTCTCATGAAACTAAAGACAAGATATATATATATATATATATATATATATATTTTTTTTTTTTTTTTTTTTAAAGAATTCTTACTCCAGTAATGGCCAATGGGCCAGAGAGTAACCATAAAGGTTAGAGTCTGAGAATGTCTTATACGTTTTCAGATTTGTGCAGCTATCTTGGGACAATGCTAGGAAACAAGTCCAAGGTGACAGGCAGATGGTAACTCAGGCTAGGCAGTGACAGGAAGTAGAAGAGAGGACAGGACCTACTTGATGGAAGAGCAGCTGGAAAGAGATCATACACGGGCCACATCTGAGGAGATCAGATGCCTAGGTGCGGGGGCCCCGGTAGTCTTTCCCCTTCCCTTCTTTTGGCTGGACCACCATTGCATCTTCTTTCCAAATTCACTCTTTTCCCCTCCCTTCTTCTCACTTAGTACCAGAACTCCCAGCTCTGTGCTTTTTGCTTAGAGTATGAGCAATCAGATAGCTTTCCAATAAATCCCTTATCTACTTATTTGAAAGGTATCCTAACTCATACCCTTTCCAAACTTTTGAACTGAGGAAGACTGTTATGAAGATGAAATGGGATAGTATATGTAAAATGACTGGCATACAGTAGCACCCCATCAATACGTGATTAGAACCTACCTTCCAAAAGGTGGACTTTGAGATATTCTGCTGGTATAGTTAGATAATGAAGCATTTAGTAGAATGTCAGATAAGGCTTTATACTGACAAAAAATATATATTTTCCACAGTTCTTCTGTTACTATTAAAGCATTTGGATAGATAGTATTAAATCAAAAAAGAATTTACACTGGCATAGTGGCACATGCCTGGAGACCCAGCTACCAGGAGGCTGAGGCAGAGGTGTTGCTATATTCCCAGGCCAGGGAACATAGTGAGATTTCTGGCTCACAAAACAATACTCAAGACTATGTGAGAGGACACAAGCTCAAATGGAGGCACCGAACTTACTCTTCATAAAGAACCTCACACGATGCTCAGCTACAGTACAAAAGAAGAGAACTAGCAAAAATAGGTGGCTTTGTTGCCATATGATACAAACAAAAATAAACTAAGTGGTTTTAGTAAACACAGTTCTGTGATCTTTCAAAAATTTCACATTTTGTCACACTTTTCCATAAAACCTGTCATTCAAGTGTGTGCACATTCATTGATTTTGTTAAGAACATTGAAATCTGAGACCAATCATTTCATTGTGATGGAAAACTTAAAATGGAAGAAGCAATTGTGTTGAAAGACTATAGCTCAAAGAACCAAAAGAAATAAGATATATAAATAAAGACCTATTATTTCTTTAAAGCCATTCAGGTTTTCAACCTTTAGAAGTACTTTTTTTTTTTTTGACATGTCCCTTTAATATCAGGTTTTTTTATTCCTTTCTTGTTTTCAGCTAACGACCTAGTTTTAATGCATTTCTGAGTTATTAATTTATGATGGTTTCTCGCTAGCCACGAAAACTCTTAATTTATATGTGGCAAAGTGATTTTTTCTTCAAGGAATTTAGTTATGCTTATGAAGTTTTTATCACCAAGCAAATGAGGAAGGACAAAATTTTTATCAAAACCTTGAGCCAAAATCAGATTCAGTCACTTAAAAAAAGAAGAATCAAGAAATAAACCTGCTACAGCATGAAAAGTATTGTCTGCTAGCAAAAATCACAACAGTAATAAATCCATATGAGAATCATCGTCTGGGTTTCAGTGGGTCAATACACCTGTCGATGTTTTTGATATTACAGAAGCTTTAGTTGAGATCTTACCTTATTCCAAGTAATTATAGGCTGCGGTTCTCCTTGAGCATGACATGAAATGTTTATATTCTTCCCAACATCTACCTTTGCATCCTGAGGAAGTCGAGTAAACACTGGGAGAGCTGTAGGAATGAGCCAAGATAACATCCTGTCGGTATCATTTTAGTCAATATGTGCCAACCCCATCAAACAGTATAAATATAAATGCTAAATTGGTTGTCCACATTAGTTTTAAAAAGTCAATTTACTTGGTCATCTAGGAGAATAATAAACACCAAACCCAGGCTGGTGATAATTAGGACAGAGGACAGAGCAGGAATAAAAGAAGAGGAAAGCACACACAAGTGCTAACCATATTCGCAATGCTTTATTTCTTCAGCTGAGGAGTGGGTGCAAGGGTTTTCATTATTCTTTCTCAATATCTTTTGGTAAGCCTAAAGGCAAGCTATACAGTTAACATCATTTTTTTTTAAAGAGAGAGAGAGAGAACAAGCTTTTTTTTTCAATATTTATTTTTTAGTTTTCAGTGGAAACATCATCTTTTATTTTTATGTGGTGCTGAGGATCCAACCCAGCGCCCCGCGCACGCCAGGCGAGCGCATTACCGCTTGAGCCACATCCCCAGCCCAACAGTTAACATCAAATTTTATTTCTGGCTAATGTAAAAGGATGCCTTTTCAAAGTAGAAATCTTTTCCCCTCAGAAAGAACAGACCGTCTCAACTCAATTAATAGGAACTAGATGATTAAAATAGCTCCCACAATGAGCAAGGAAATTGGATTTACAATCTTTAAAAACTCCTCCTCCCCAAAAAATGAAAATCAAAAATTACGCTGAGATTTCATCTCACTCCAGTCAGAAATGGCAATCATCAAGAATGCAAGCAACGATAAATGCTGAAGAGGATGTGGAGAAAAAGGGACACTTTACCCTGTTGGTGGCATGGTAAATTAGTACAAACACTATGGAAATCAGTATGGAGTTTCCTCAGATGACTAGGCATGAGAACCATCATATAGCACGCCTTGGTATTAATCCTAAAATATTAAAGTCAACATAATATATATATAATATATATATTTTTATATATATATATATATTATTTATATATATATATATATATATATATAGAGAGAGAGAGAGAGAGAGAGAGAGAGAGAGATCTCCATGTTTATAACAGTACAATTCTTAATAGCCAAACTGCTGTCCATCAAAAATGGATAAATGGATAAACAAAATGTAGTATATGTACACAATAGAGTCTTATTCAGCCATAAAGAAAAATGAAATTATGTCACTTGCAGGAAAATGGATGGAACTTCAGATCACTATATTATAAGCCAAACTCAGAAAGTCAAGGGTCATATATTTTCTCTCATATATGGAACTAGAGAGGAAAAAGGAAAAGAAAGGTGAGTGGGGGTGGAGGAATCTCATGAAAATTGAAGGAAGATCAGTAAAGGACCAGAAGAGGGAAGAAATAGGGAAATGGGGGGGATGATTTTGGCCAAATTTTATTGTTATGTTGTGTGCATGTATGAATAAATAACAATAAGTCCCACCATTATTGACAACTATAATGCACCAGTAAAAATATGGGGAAAAACCTTCCCTCAAAGAAGGAATCTCAAGGAAAGAATGAAAATCATTTTGCTAGAGAATTCTACTAAATGATTTTAAAATATATTATGACGACTCTATATGATTCCTTGCATAAAATAGAAAGGAAGGCAATACTTTTTGACTCACTGTAGGAGGCCAACCCTAACATCCAAATCAGATAGAGACAGTACCAAACAACAACAGCAGCAAACAAAAAAACTACAGACCAATACCTCTCATGAACATGTACACAGAAATCATCAACAAAGTATTGGTAAATAGAATTCATCAATATTAAAAGGCCAATGGCCAATTAAGGTTTAATCCTGCGACACAATGCTGATTCAATATTTGAAATCAGTCGATTTACCTATATAACTTGCCATTTTAACAGCTAAAGAATAAAAACCACAGGATATCAATCAATACATAAAATGTGTTTGACTATATTCAACTCACTCATGGTTTAGAAAAAGCTTTCAGAGCCAGCTACGGTGATGCGTGCCTATAATCCCAGCAGCTCCGGAGGCTGAGGCAGGAGAATTGTCAGTTCAAAACCAGCCTCAGCAATTCAATGAGCCCCTGAGCCATTTGGCAAGACCCTGTCTCAAAAGAAAAATTATAAAAGACTGGGGATGTGGCTCAGTGGTTAAATGCCCCTGGGTTCAATTCCTGATACCAAAAAAAAAAAAAAAAAAAAAAAAAGAAGAAGAAGAAAAAGCTTTCAGAAAAATAGAAATACAGGAGAACCTATACAGCTTGAAAAATAATCCTGCAGTAAGTAGTGAGGGGATACCTTCCCTTCAGATGGGGAATAAGGCAGGGGCATGTGCTCTCTCCACTCTGATCCAACGTAGAACTGAAAAGTCTAGTGCATAATAGCAAGTAAAGGACAAGGAAAGCAAAGGAATAGGATAAGAAGAAAAAGAACTCTGTTTCAGATGATACTTTTATCCATGTAAAAAAAAAATCTAAGAAATATCAAAAGTATTCTAGAGTGAGTTTGGCAAGGTCACAGAATACAACATAAATGGAAAATCAATGAATCATATTTGTGGACTCAATCAATGAACACACAAACACAAAAATTTTTAAAAACAGTATCATTCAGAATTGCTCAAAAACATGGTATGCGCCAGGTGTGGATGGCACAGGCCTGTAATCTCTTAGACTCAGGAGACTGAGACGGAAGGATCATAAGTTACAGGTCAGTCTTAGCAACTTAGCAAGATCCTGTCTCACAGTTAAAAAAATACAAAAAAGACTGAGGATGTAGGCGAGTGGTAGAGCACCCACAGATTCAATCCCCAGTACAGCAAAAGGAAACCCCAAAAATGTGATGCTTAGGTTTCAATCAAGCAGAACAATCATGTGTGGAAGACCACAGAAGGATGATAAAAGAAATGAAAGAAAATCTAAACAATGTATTCATGAGCTGGAAGTCTCAAGACAGTAAAGATGCCATTTCTTCACAAATTGATATGCAATTTCCATTAAAATCCAAGCAAGAGAATTTTTTATAGATATAGACACGATTACTCTAAAATTTATTTAGAAGTGCAAAGGAAACTAAATAATTTTGTCAAAGAAGAATAAAGTGAGAAGAATCACTCTACTGGATTTAAAAACAGAACAACAAGCTACAGTAATTAAAGTGTGTGGTACTGAGAAGATGGACACAGACCCACACATTAATGGAGCAGAGCAAGATCCACACAAGCATGCCCAGTTCATTCTGACAGAGGTGCGAGAGCAATTCAATGAAAGCCTTTCAACAAATGTGCGGGAACAATTGAATAATCACAGGCAGAAAAATGAATCTTGACTCACTAAACAGTCTCACACTTTATACAAAATTAACTCACAATTAACAATAAAACATAAATTGCTTTAACTAAATAAAATACTTGGGAATCAACCTAACAAAAGAGGTGAAAGACTTATACAATGAAAACTACAGAACCCTAAAGAGAGAAATAGAAGATCTTAGAAGATGGAAAAATATACCCTGTTCATGGATAGGCAGAACTAACATCATCAAAATGGCGATATTACCAAAAGTTCTCTATAGGTTTAATGCAATGCCAATCAAAATCCCAACGGCATTTCTTGTAGAAATAGAGAAAGCAATCATGAAATTCATATGGAAAAATAAAAGACCCGGAATAGCAAAAACAATGCTAAGCAGGAAGTGTGAATCAGGCGGTATAGAGATACCAGACTTCAAACTATACTACAGAGCAATAGTAACAAAAACAGCATGGTACTGGTACCAAAACAGGCGGGTGGACCAATGGTACAGAATAGAGGACACAGAAACCAATCCACAAAACTACAACTACCTTATATTTGATAAAGGGGCTAAAAGCATGCAATGGAGGAAGGATAGCATCTTCAACAAATGGTGCTGGGAAAACTGGAAATCCATATGCAACAAAATGAAACTGAATCCCTTTCTCTCGCCATGCACAAAAGTTAATTCAAAATGGATCAAGGAGCTTGATATCAAATCAGAGACACGCCGTCTGATAGAAGAAAAAGTTGGCTACGATCTACATACTGTGGGGTCGGGCTCCAAATTCCTCAATAGGACACCCATAGCACAAAAGTTAATAACTAGAATCAACAAATGGGACTTACTCAAACTAAAAAGTTTTTTCTCAGCAAAAGAAACAATACGAGAGGTAAATAGGGAGCCTACATCCTGGGAACAAATCTTTACTCCTCACACTTCAGATAGAGCCCTAATATCCAGAGTATACAAAGAACTCAAAAAATTAGACAATAAGAGAACAAACAACCTAATCAACAAATGGGCCAAGGACCTGAACAGACACTTCTCAGAGGAGGACATACAGTCAATCAACAAGTACATGAAAAAATGCTCACCATCTCTAGCAGTCAGAGAAATGCAAATCAAAACCACCCTAAGATACCATCTCACTCCAGTTAGATTGGCAGCCATTATGAAGTCAAACAACAACAAGTGCTGGCGAGGATGTGGGGAAAAGGGTACACTTGTACATTGCTGGTGGGACTGCAGATTGGTGCAGCCAATTTGGAAAGCAGTATGGAGATTTCTTGGAAAGCTGGGAATGGAGCCACCATTTGACCCAGCTATTCCCCTTCTTGGTCTATTCCCTAAAGACCTAAAAAGAGCATGCTACAGGGACACTGCTACATCAATGTTCATAGCAGCACAATTCACAATAGCAAGACTGTGGAACCAACCTAGATGCCCTTCAATAGACGAATGGATAAAAAAAAAATGTGGCATTTATACACAATGGAGTATTACTCTGCATTAAAAAATGACAAAATCATAGAATTTGCAGGGAAATGGATGGCATTAGAGCAGATTATGCTAAGTGAAGCTAGCCAATCCCTAAAAAACAAATGCCAAATGTCTTCTTTGATATAAGGAGAGTAACTAAGAACAGAGTAGGGACGAAGAGCATGAGAAGAAGATTAACATTAAACAGGGATGAGAGGTGGGAGGGAAAGGGAGAGAGAAGGGAAA